GAGGGAGGGAGAGGGAGAAGCAGACTCCCCGCTGAGGAGGGAGCCCAAGATGGGGCTAGATCTCAGGATCCCAGGATCATGACCTGAGTGGAAGGCAGAGGCCCACCTAGCTGACTGAGCCACCCAGGTGCCCCATCAATGGGGAAATATTTTAAACATATAAAATGATAAACACAGAGATTTGGTACTGAACACTTTGAAAGAGGATCAGCTACAGAAGTAAGCTCTGAGCATATTAACTTACCATGAATAGATCAGTTCTACTGGAACAAAGTTCAGAGTCAATCCAGCCCACCTTCAATATGTTCATACAGTGGACCTGAGGGACCTGAAGGGACATCTCCTTTGGAGCTGACACCTCACTAAGTAGACAAATGACATGAAGGAAGAAGAGACCCTGTGGAATATTACACTAACTTACTAAACTAAGTTGTGACTGTTAAGATCATGGGCACCCTTACCAGATTCACACTGAAATAGTCCAGAGTTATTTACTAACTACCAAACAATGTTCCAATATATGATGATGAGTAGAAAGAATGCAAGGGTTCTCACCTGAATTACATACAATATATTTTTTTAAAAAACCAGGTTGGAATTTTTTTAAAAATCTAATATCTAACGGGGTCAAAGCTTTTATTGATTGAGAGGGAGAGAGAGAATCCCAAGCAGACTCCATCCCCAGTGCAGAGCCCTAGCTGGGGATGGATCTCACAACCCTGAGATCATGACCTGAGCTGATATCAAGAGTTAGATGCTTAACTGACTGAGCCACCCAAGCAATGCTTGGGGGTCAAAGCTTTTAACATTATGCAACTACCTAATATTTAGAAAAGAATCATAAGAGCTGGTTTAAGATTTCACCAAAACTTATTGCAGAAGTTAATGATTATTTACAGAATAGCAAATATCCAATACACTAACATTTATCTCAATTTGGCTTAAAAAATGAATTAAATGCAAGAGAGGTAGAAAGAAAAAGTAAATCCATTTCAAAGAAAAAGAAGCACTTTTAATATTGCTTTAAAAAGCATCATGCAAGGAAAAAAAAAAAAAGCATCATGCAAGGAGCAATTCAGCAATTTCTAGTTCTAGTCCATCTCCCCATAGGATCCCAGGATAAGAGGGTGACCCATAAATGACTGACACAGGTCTCTCCCCTCTCTCTGGCTGATTAAGGGTTGCAAATGCAAGCTATCTTATGATGCTAATAATTATAAAATGCACAAGCCTTATACACAGTTTTGTAATTCTCTTTCTCAACTGTCCAATTCAAACAAGCAAATTTAAAATTAAATACATTATGGAGACACAGGTCACTGTATCACAACCGAATCACCCATGTCTCATTAACCACCACTCACCCAGATCTGGGTTCCCCTTCTTTCTCCCTCCGGAGGATTTCTGTCTATTAATCTGTTCATGTCTTTCTCTTTCCTGATTCTCTCCACTGTTTCTCCTTTCCTGTGATTCCCCCGTCTCCTCCCTTGCTTTCTCCCCTTTTCTCTCTTCCTTTCCCTACACCTACACTTTCCGGGGAACTCCTGAGACCTATTTCACCTTCCCTTACTCTTTCAGCCCAAGCTTTCCGACTGCTCCGATCTCCGTAAA